GTCTTGATAACAAATTTGTGCAAACAAAACCTCTACTTCAACAGGCTAGGAAGCACAAATCCATTCCAAATGGTTGTAGGCTAGGTTAATAGTTCTAATCATAATATATGTGATTGAGGTTTTAATGTAGCAGGTTGATAGGCATAGACTTGTTTAACCACACCAATAATGCACTATACTGCCATTGTCATCACTACATATATAAGAGAGCATAAGCCGGGCGCTAACCATGCACGTATTCAATCAAAAAACACAATCATATCCATTGCGTAAAAGTACCAAATCAATTCACACCATCAATCACACAGTAGCTCTTCCATACAGCAAAGTACAACTACTTTCAAATGTGCAGGTCATAATTCTGTTGACCGAAGGCACAATCAACATCAGGGTAAGTGTCACGAGTAGAAAGCAAAGAGGCACAGACAAACGATCTTGAATAACAATTCACGGCTGAAGTTAAAAGGGCCAGATTTCATTAACTTGCCTGGAATGGAAGACTGAGATTGCAGCTCTATCACAAGAGAAATTAAATTCTGAATCCAACTTGTAGCAGCTGAAAGAGTTACCAGATCAAAGTCCCTACATATAATACAAAAAAAATTAAATTCAACTCACGTAAACAACAAAATCATAGACAAGTTACGATTAAGGTGATGCTAATACTGCAAATCCTTGTGGCATTACAAAAGCATCCTAGAAGAAATAAAGGATTCCTACTGTATTAACTATTACATACTACGGATGGGGCATTAAGTAATTCAGGCTCGTTGTTTTCCTAGTTCAGTATTCCACACGGACATAACGTCAAACACATGGAAGCCAGAAGCAATCATGGTGTATTTCAGCAAACACTTGGATGCAGAACAATTCTTATGATAAATCGACGAACGATACAACTAAAGGAAAGTAGGATAGAGGGTGCTCTAACCCTACTAATCAGGTCAGCCATTATACTCCTCCAGGCAAACAGTCCATTTGTATAATCCTTCTATGATATAAATCTTGTCTATGAATGCTCTAATATCAAAATATGTTCATATATGTCACTATGTCTTTTGAAACTGTAACAAACCGTGGACTGTTTTAGTTTCTGAGATAAACATATCTTTGCTTTACCTCTAACTATCTCTCTATTATGCTCTGTTTGAGTTTTGAGTTTTCTTTCTTTCCTTTTTGTCTTGGTAAGCAATTTCATCACCCCACAAACCAGAGGGCATACAAGATGGCATGAACACCATAGACCAACAGTTCTTGCAGAGAGTATTAGTTACACTAATCCAAGACTATTGGCATGCAATCTACGAGTCATTATCTACAACAGAAGAGGATTTAATTTCATGGAGAGTGATAACCAGATAGTACAGGATTGAACACAACCTGCATTTCTAGTCTTTTTGCGACACCTACAATCCTAATACAAGACTACAAATTGATTGGATTATCAACTAGACAGAAGTAGCAACATCGTTTAAGGTTATGAATGTCCATGGTAATGATCAATGCAACAAAACACAAACAAACCCAATTGACGATACACTCACAGAAAATCTTCAATTTCCTAATGATGATCTCCAATTCATCATCTTTCATACACTTTCCATGAAACCTAGAAGCATTATACAAGAACAATCATAATTGAAACTTATAGTGAGCTAAAATGATGAAAACAGAAGGAATGTCTCTACAAATGAGGGCCGAGTTTAGGGTTCTTTTAGTCAGACGATAAGAAAGAAGTAGTGGGTGAAGGAAGAAGGATTTGAAGTGAGAAACGGAGAAAAATTCAGAATATGAGGATCATCTTTATTACCTAAAAGCTTGGAGGAAGAAACACAGCAAAGCTGCGACCAATTGAAGACCCAATGAATCCCCTGCTCAGTCCCTAGTTCGCCAACCTATTTGAAGATCCAGCTCGCCGCTGTTGTCGCCACCTTAACTATCGACGAGGAAACGCCACAACTGTGTTCGCGCCGGCGACACAACAAAGAGGCGACGAAGCACAATCGCGGGAGAGTAGACACCTCGAAAACCCTATTTCAGAATCTGGTTCACCGTCGACCTTCTCACCCCCTTTTATATCGACTGGAGACGCCACGAAACCCTATTTCTTCCTTTACCCAGTGTCGCACTCACCGTCGAGATATTTCAGAATCCGATGCACCCCCTGCTTGTTGCACTCGCTTGCCGTCACCCTCTGCTCACCTCATTCACCGTCGTCGAAGAGAATTTTTTTTGAATAGAAGTCGTCGAAGAGAATTGGAACGGGGAAGTCACTGAAGTTTCTAATTTAATTTTTTAATTATTATTAACTTGTCAACCGGTGCAACAGGTAGCCAATACTAGAATAAAATAAAATAATAATTAATTAAACAAGATCCAATGGCTCACAATATTTAACAAGATCTAATGGCTATAAACATAGTAAAGCACCCATACTATATAGCATACTAAAAAGCCTCTTTTGTTTGACCTTGTCGTAACCCAAGGGCACGTAGAAGAAAGTATAAAATATACTGGTTTGAGAACAAGGTTACATGTACGTATCACAATGTTGGACATTTGTTTACACCATACAATTTGTCTTGTACCACATTGGTGAGTTACAAGATAATCAATGAATTTACAAGGTCATATTAATTATAATAATTAATGTTGTTTAAGTTGGCCTTATTGATATTGATTTTAAGCCCAAGCCACTAACTCATTAATGAGCATGGACATGATTCAATAAGGGACATGGGCCTCTCGTAGGAGGCCATGTCATGCCACGAGATTGCATAAAACATTCTAAGTCTGGGAAGGACGTGCCGTTTCAACGAGGAGGGCCATGCCCCTCTAGAATCTAGAGACACGTGTCGCTTCAACGAGGAAGACCATGTCCATGTAGAATATAGAAGCACATGTCGTCTCAACAAGACATAATGGACGTGAGAAGGAGTATCATCCCTCTTAAGTAACGTGATCATGGCTCCTCCGTTGTATAAAAATATTCTAAGTATGGAGAGGGATGTGCCACTTCACGAGGAGGGCTATGGACATGACTGAGAAGTCTAGGGCCACGAATGAAGAGGCCATGTCGCCTCATGATCAAGACCGAACGACCCGAAATATACTAAGTTTGGGAAGGACATGCCACCTCATGGGAGGGGCCATTTGCATGATTGAGCGGTCTATGTCGCCTCACGAGAGGGTCATGGACACGAATGAGAAGGGCGTTGGTGGTGGAGCATTATATCACTATTGACTAAGTCCAAAGAGGGCCATGGACATGAGTAAGAAGTCCATGGCCATGAGGCAAGAAGTCCACGACCCCTTTGCGAGACACCACATGCTCGTCAAATGACTAGCGTGGCACGAAATCTGGAACAAGGCAAGCTGTACTCCAAGATTCAATGACAGTTTCCAAGATAGCGACAGGTTTCAAGAGGGGTACCTAGGCAGTTGAGAGATGAACTGCTACTCATACCACTTCAAGGGACATGTTAGCCACGTCCAAAGAAGCAGAGAGCGGTTTCTTTTTGGAGTTATCCAAGAGGCAGTTTTCTACGGCAGTTACCTCCTCATAGATATAAATAGGATGAGGGATCGACAGAGACAAGGGTTCGCAAAAATCACTACTCGACAACACTTGTCAACTTTTTATCAATTTATCTTTCTTCTACAACTTTTAGTCGTAGTCGTAGATTTGGAGCTCTCACTAAATCTCCTTAGGAGTAGGGCTAATTTGATGTAGATTTGTCTTGTGAGTCGTGTAAACATCAAACACACTCGTTCGAACTGTGTTTGAAGAGGTGTGGACCGTGTTAAGTGATCGTTGTTCAAGAAGTCAAGGTGCAATCAATTCTCATTCAATGCAAGTTTTCTCGTCAGAAAACAACATTGTATCCAAATAATTCATTGATTGATAAAATATAACTGACTAATACAATCATTGTTTTCATAAACAACCACGACGGGATTTTCATATTGTGAAAGAAACGCAAAAACAGTCATTATCTAGTCTCTTTCATTGTATCCCATTAAACAATCATTAGCAAACTCGTCACCATTTCGATTTGGAAAATTATTCTTAATATAACTCAAACATGAAAAAATGGCCTTTCTACACTTGGAATTACCATTGGTGGAATCAAAATTAGTGATATTTGTCGTTGTTGCTGGACAGTTCCATGGTTGTTGGGGGGGGGGGGGATCGAATAGGCATACGGAGAAAGAGATTTGTTTAGATCTTTATTGCAATTGGAATTTTGTTTAGAGTATAATCAATTAATTTTATGTCAATTTATGAACAATTAATGAGTTGTGTTGTAGTGACAAAATACTCTCATAGCACCTATCGGTGTTGTATTCCATCATCAATAAAAAAAATATATGAAGTATTTTTTTCTCCGAAATTTACCCCCATACCGTGACAATGCTCAATGACCCCTGCCTCCGCCTATGTATATACCACACGAGTACCAATTATGTTGATGACCATGATTCGAGTGACATTATATGTATACACTCGATAGGTAACTCCGGTAGCCGAATGCTTCATATACTTCGCTCTGATACCTCTTACCATCTCAAAATTTCGATACCACTCTTCTCCTTGAGAAGAATTAAAGCTAACATTATCAGAGAAATTTTACAATGCTATATAGTATTGGTGCTATAGGGTTTTGCCTTTATGGTACAACTTAAAATTGTACATTTACGTTATGGTACAACTTCAGATTGTACCTATACTTTTTGTACAAATTTTTTTATGGTACAACTTGAACTTGTACCTTTATGTCATGGTACAACTTCAAGTTGTAAAGTTGTACCATAACATAATGGTACAAATTGCTTTATGGTACAACCTAAACTCATACATTTAATGTTATGGTACAACTTTAAGTTGTACATTAAAGCACCAATACTATATAGCATAGTAGAAGTGCTCCCCATTATCAAGCTAAAGAATGTCTTTGACCTATTTCTGGAATATAAATCTCCACGATTCAATATTATTACTGGCAATATAGCATCGTACACTAACTGATGGTAAAATCGTCCACATAAAATTCACTGCGAGGACGAAATTGCTAATGACAATGGGTCAGATCGGAGGCGAATAGTGTGTATCCGTTATCCTACCCAATTAGCTCGAATTTGGGTGGATATCGATAATTACTGATATTTTTGCCATCCCTAACGAAAACGAATTGTACAAGATCGATCCATACTTGGCTACTGCCATGGCGGAACATAGCCTTGAATGAGCCAACGTGGAAGATCAGGTAAATCAATGCGGTCAATTAAATTTGAAGTACGACAAGAAACTCCCATTTTACCAATTGATTTGGGACAAACAGAGACAGAAATTGGGACCCGCTCGATCGGCATCCAAGTCTAATGAGGATACTGACGTCCCACCGGCGCCCGCCTTTGTGGGCGTTGACTTCACGTTATGGGAATGTGAAGGCCGGCCGTCCGACGATGAGATATAGGACGACGATCGGATCGGAGCTGTCCCACAACAGACACTGTCGATCAAGTTGGCTCCCGTAAGTCATATGAGCTGTGTGGTGTGTGAAGGAAAGGAATTAGTGCATGTTCTGTGAGCCATCCAGCTCGCACAACAACAACAACAAAAAATGAGGGAGGAAAACCATGTACTAGTTAGTTAATTCATTGAGAATAAGTGGTTGTTATGTCAGTGAGATGTAGACTGATACAATCGAGTCGAATCAACATTGGTAACAAAATTGTTTAGAATGTCCTTCGGTATGAGTAGCATGATCGAATTTTGACATTCAAACAAAATGATGTCTGTTTGTTGAATTTGAAAGTTCAATGTTGATATTATTTGTATTATTCATGTATGAATGTTTAGATGTTTATGTTATTTGTTGGATTCAAATATCAACTTTAGATGTTGGCCGACTTTCAATGTTGTACTTATATATGAGAAATTTTTTGTTTTATTTTGAATGTTGCAAAAAAAACTTAAGTATGAATCTTGATTTTGGAGAGATTGTTTCCAAATATGTTTTTATTTTCCCACTTTCCTACATATTTTGCTAAAATCGGCATGAATTGATTGTACCACTGATATAATCACAGCACTTGTCAAACCGATATATGATGATGAGACCAAAATAGAGAGGGAGGGTTGTCCCTTTGCTTTGTTGACTCGATATAAACCGGTTTGACATCGTAGTAAAGAAAAACATGGCAGTGCTACTGCCACCTAAAACGTGAGAGACGGACGTGATGCATTACAATTATCGGCAGCCATATTATCATTATTATTAGTTTTAATTATGGTTTAGGAATCGTTTTAATTATTAAAGTGTTTAAAGTAGTTTCTTTAATATTAAGTTACCGTATCCTTGTATAATTGGTAAGTTATTAGGTTTTCCGGTTCTCCTATAAATATGTACTTGGTTTCTACATTTTACGGAGTCAATAAAGAATAAAAACCCTAATCTCTGTCTCTTTAATTTCTAGTTCTTACGATTATGCGATGGGTGAAACAATCATTATCAGGGCGGTGGTCGAGTTTTTATTTACTTCTCCGGAATTCCTTTCCTTGCTCCATGGATCTCTTTCTCCATTGATGATTTGATGTGTGTATTAAATTATTGGATGGTTGGAAGGTTTAATATTGTTGTATTATTAATGGGATGGACTCGACATTATTATTAATATTCATAGACACATAATCATAAAAGGGATATGGGAACTAGAGGTGGCAAATGGATTGGATTGGTGGATTGGATTGGTGGATCCATGGATCAAATGGATTGGATCTAATGGATTGGTGGATTCATGGATTGGTGGATTTTCCAATGATATTTTTAGTATAAAAAATTAAATTTTAGGTACCAGAATGTAAAAAATAAAAATTATAGGTACTAAACCATAATTTATCAATGATCCATGGATCCAATCCAATTGGATTTGGATAAAATGGATTGGATTTAAATGGATTGGATTAGGTGGATATTTTTAATGGATTGATGAATTAGATTGGTGGATTGGATTGAAATTGCCACCTCTAATGGGAATAGATAAAGGTAGTTATGATAAATGGTCACAAAACTATTCATGTTGTACAAAACGGTCATAATTTTTTAATTTTGCCCGTATCAGTAACATATATTTGGACTAATAACAAAACGGTGATTCCGTCCATTTCCAACCAAAATTCTATTAGTTTGGTCCAATCAACTGTCCCGTCAACATCCACATCATCAAAATAATTAATAAAAAAATAAAATAAAAACCAATTAAACCCTAACCAACCCACCACCCCAATCTAACCCAACCCATTCCTTCTATCTCCTCTCCCTCTCCGCCACATCTCCGCACAGCTGAGAAGATCAACGACGCCGCCACCAGACATTACTCTGTTGAACTCCTCCGAATTGAGCGGCCCATTGTTGTCTGACTCGGCCGGGCGGCGGACCAAGCAGATGGTGGAGAGAGGGGATCTAAACTCCACCCGAACCACAGGATCGGAATCAAATATACTCAATGAAAGCAACCACAATCAAGCAAGTGACGATAGCGATTCCCTTTCCTTCTTTACTCCTCTGCCTTCTGTTTCCCCCGGCTAGGGTTTTCGAACCGCAACAAAGGAAAGACAATGATTCCCAAGTTCTACGTTTCTTTCTACCTTGTACGCGATCCAAAACAAATTTGCATGCAACACTTTCCCTATGTGTTAGCCGTAAAACTTTCTCGTGGTAGTTCTCTGGTGCGTTTGGGGGATCTGAGATAGAGAGAGGGGGCAAATGGCGATTGATGGATTAGGTGGAGGGGATGGAGTAGTGGTTGTTTGTCCTCAATAGTACAATACTCTCTCTCTCTCTCTCTCTCTCTCTGCATGCTCTCTCTGTTCTTCAGTTTGCAGGGGAAGGAAATTGAGAAAGTGGTTGATCTTTCTTAGCTATGCGGAGATGGTGGGTGGTGGAAGAGTGGGAGAGGAGATAGAGAGGAATGGGTTGAGTTGGATTGGAGTGGTGGGTTGGCTACGGTTTAATTGGTTTTATTTTATTTTTTATTAATTATTTTGATGATGTGGATGCTGACTGGACCAAACTAACAGAATTTCGGATGAAATTACCTTTATGTTATTAGTCCAAACATATGTTACTGAAACGTGCAAAATTGAAGATTGTGAATAGTTTTGTTACCATTTATGATAACTGCCCAATAGATAAATATAAACAATGGGGAAAATCGAGAAAGAGTTGAGAATTTTTTTTTTATATATCACTATGTTATGTTGGTCATGGTCGAAAATAAAGCTAGATGATAATTCTTAGTTGTAGTGCTAAATGAAATGATTGATTTGAATTGTGATAACTAACCTTATCAACTATTCTAATTTCAAAAAATTTACAAAATTTACATGTAATATCTTCTTGCGTGTATTTTGTCACGAATTTACCACCCTCAATTCACCATAAATTTCACAACTTTGGGAAATGAGAAGCATACATTTTAACTGCTGAAAAAGAAAGAAAATTCATTCCCACCATCATAATGGTTTAAGAATCACAGCGACCCGTAAAGTTACCCGCCAAACGAAAGCAGCTGCGACGATTTTGAAACTGAGAAAAGGGAAACCGCGCATTCCGTCTCGTTTCCGTTTGTCTCCCGAGAAAACAGAAACTTTCTCACCCACTTTTTCTCGGGAAAATTTTCGTGTTAAATTTCCAGAGAGTAAAAGTGACGAAGAAAGGAAAGAGAAAGGATTGAAAGGGAAAATTTTCCATAACTGCCACCACATGACATGACTGATGTAGTGGTGGTAGTGGCCACTTCTTATGCTGCCTCACAGTCACAGTTTTGCTTATTTCTCCTTCTCCTTCTTCTTCTTCTTCTTCTTCTTCCCTCTCCTTTCCTTTTCGCCGGCCCACTCAATCCGCCATGGCTAAACCTGAGCTCGAGGGGAGAAAACTGAAAAGCAAAAGCTGAATAAAATTTTAAAAAGGAGAGAGCCCTTTTTTTTCCTAACCTTTTCATGTCCTTTTGTCTCTTGGCCTTTTCTCCACCCAAAGCAAAACAATTCTCTATTCACTATTCTATTCTGTAGTAGAGTTGGTTTTGAAAAGAGTTTAAGAACACAACAAATTAGTCCCCTGGGGGAAAGATCCAAAAGAACGAAAAACGCCCATTTGCCTCCCGAACGTTATTCTTCTCGTCTCTTATCTGTTTCGATTTTTGGAGAACTGGGATAAGCCGTGCTGGGGAGGTCGAGCGTATCTCTCCCTATCCGCCATTGTCGTCTCCATGTGATCTGTTTCTAGTACAGAAGGGAGAAACAGACAATGAAGCAGAAGGCCAAGCAGCAATTGCTTCTTCTTCTTCGCTCTCTGGTGGCTGCTCACTTACCCATTTGGATTTTCCTCTCGTTCGACTCAGCTCACGCCGGTCCCGACGTTCTTCTTCCTTCACCACTTGTTGTTGCTCATTCTCCTGCTTCGCAGCCTGCTGCTCCCAACGTTTCTACTCCCATGGCTGCCTTCTCTCCAGGTACCTCAGTTGCTATCTTTGGGTAATTTTTAAACGCCGAGTTGAGTGTCCCTGTTTGAAATGCAGAAAATTGTTGGGTTGGTTCAACAACTTTTCAAAATTCGAAATTGTTTAATGTGATCAAATCTGTGACTGAACTAAATGCTGTGGGAGCATTTAAGATATGGTATTGTGGACAAATTCGCTGCCGGAATTGGGTAGTTTTTCTTTTCTTTCTGGCTTTCAAAGCTCGGAAGGATGAGAAATCCCCCGCCAGGTGTTTGATCAAAGTACCGAGAGATTCGGTTCTTCAATCCTGTGCCCGGTTTTTGTTATCTTTGTGCTAGATCTTTTTGTTGACTTTCGTTACTTGAGCAGGCAGTCAATTGCAACTGGGAGTTGAAGCAGGGCACCACAAACACATGGAACTGGATAAGAAAACGCACATCATACTTGCTGTTGCTTGCGTTATCATGGCCGTGATAATCTTTCTCTTCGTATCTGCTGGTTGCCTTTGCTACTGGAAAGTTCTTCCGAAGAGGAAGAAGTCCCCAAATCCAGGTATTAGTTTTCCCGCAGAAACTTGAAATGATGAATTTTGCTGGAGGCAGAAAAAGAATATTGGTGAATGATATGTGTATTCATTTGTCGGGGGTTTTCATTTTGAGTATGAAGATGCGGAGAAAGGGGTCTTGTTCAGCAAATTCCGTGCCTTGAGGATGCCTAGCAACAGGGGATGCGTTCCATTGATTGAATACAAGACACTGGAGAAAGGCACACAAAATTTTGTGGAGGAGAATTTGTTGGGCAGGGGCGCATTTGGGCTTGTTTACAAAGCCACCATGGATGATAACTCTGCAGTCGCGGTGAAGAAACTGGACTGTGCAACTGAAGATGCAAAAAGAGAGTTTCAGGTGCCTGTTCTCCCTCTTTTTTACTTTTTAGAGTTTTAGTACTGCTGTTCAGGTATATTCATACGCAGTATGGGACTTTGTAGAATGAGGTGGACTTGTTGAGCAGATTTCAGCACCCAAACATAATTTCTTTAGTGGGTTACGGCGTTCATGAGGGTTCGGGATTCATTGTGTATGAGTTGATGCCTAATGGGTCACTTGAAGATCTTTTGCATGGTAAATATCTCCTTCTTGATTTTGTGTTTTTGTCTTTAATGGAAGAACAAGCTGTGACTGGACTTTCATAGTAGGATAAAAGGGAAGGTCCATAATTTGTCCTTTTTCTTATGTTTTGTTGTGGATTTCAGGACCTTCCCGAGGGTCTAAATTAACTTGGCATATGCGGCTGAAAATTGCTCTGGATACAGCAAGGTGAGCTACTTACTAAGCTATGTGTATAAACTATTGATCCTCTTCCCTTCTGTTGCTTTTGTTTCTGACACCCAAGTAACATTTTTTATACCCCAATTGTTGATTCAGAGGATTAGAGTATTTGCATGAATACTGCAAGCCAGTAGTGATCCACAGAGATCTGAAATCATCCAATATCCTCTTGGATTCCAATTTCCACGCTAAGGTGACATAAATCAGTGATCCGTCTGTTCATTTCAATTATTTAGACCCACCACCATCCTTCACCATTTTAACTGTCTACACTCCTGTAATGCAGCTTTCAGATTTTGGTTTAGCAGTGGCTGATACCACCCGTAATAAGAACAAGCTTAAACTTTCCGGCACTGTGGGCTATGTTGCGCCCGAGTACATGCTAGATGGTAAACAGTTCTTAAAATATTAGCAGCACTTAGGCTCTTCTTTCGTTGGGTTTTCTGTAAAGTAATTGTGTGTTATGTTGATGGGCACAGGGGAGTTGACGGAGAAGAGTGATGTATATGCGTTTGGAGTAGTGCTATTAGAGCTTCTACTGGGAAGAAGGCCGGTGGAGAAACTGGCACCAGCTCATTGCCAATCCATTGTCACATGGGTATGCACCATTTCTCCCATCTTGAGGATAAATTAAAATGCTTTATTAGGGTTTCCCCAATAATCGAATTTGCTATCATTGGATTCAATGGAAATGGCTCGATTATGAGAGTGATGGTGTGCTGTTTTAAAACGTGTAGGCCATGCCTCAGCTAACTAACAGGGACATGCTCCCAAACATTGTGGATCCTGTGATTAAAGACACCATTGATGAGAAGTACCTATTCCAGGTCTAACAATTTTCTACTCCTTTCAAGTAAAAAATTGATCATTGAACTTCATATCACCCTAAAGTTCTGGAGAATCCTTTTCTTTCTTAACCCTGTACAGGTTGCAGCTGTTGCTGTGCTATGTGTGCAACCAGAACCTTCATACCGGCCTCTGATAACCGACGTGGTGCATTCCTTGATTCCCCTGCTTCCACTTGAACTGGGAGGGACGCTTAGGACCACTCAGCCTGCAGTGACATGCTGATGATAATAAACTGAACTGAGTTTCTGTAGACTTTGGTCATTCTGTATATGGGCTGTTTCTTTCAACGAGCTTGAATCTTTATTACAATACCACCCTTTTTGTTCATTTTGGGTAGCGTTAGAGGTATTCCTCCACGTTTGGGAAATTTTCTTCCACGTTTTGTAAAGTTTAGAACACTCATTGAGAAAGCTACATACGCAGCCAAATTATTTCTGTGTACAGAAAACTTCCGACTTTTTTTTTTTTTGTTACATAAACCTACATATGCAGCCAAATTATTTCTGTGTACAGAAAACTTCCGACTTTCCATTCATGGTCCTACCTCTTTGGTGACAAGAAAACAAGTGTTGAATGCCTTCATATTTTCTGTGAAAGTGAATACAGTTTATTCTTCTGGGATATGTAATTTATAAAGTACCCTACAAATGATAAAGTAGACGACACAAACAAAAACCAATACCGACAATTCCTTTGCTCTAGGGTACGTATGGCTTCTCCTACACTACCCTGACAAATAATAACATTAAACTTCCCCAGCCAGATTCAGGGTGATACAGAGAGGCAAGGGGATTATTAGTGACGAAATTAATATCTTCGCAGTATTACCAACTCAACAACAACCAAAAGAACTTGAATAGCCTGCTTCTATGCTTCTGCCTTCTGTTGCAGTGCACGATGATGCAGAGAGGTTTAGCTGACATTATGGTATGAGTCAATAATGGCGTCAGCGAGGTACTCACACTTGGCCAAGTTCAGTCCAGCTAATGAAATCCTTCCATCTTTAGTCATGTAGACATGCCACTTATTCGTCATATTATCGCTCTGTACACAGTCGAGACAAACACACACAGCACACACGTCAAAAGTTCGGAGGATCATTGAGACTCCATTGATCATATAAGTGAAGAAGGAGAAGAAGGGTGCTGATTGATTAAGTACCTGATTTTTGTTCAAGCCAGTGAATGAGAACATGCCAATCTGCTTAAGAATGAAAGACCAATCCTTTCCACTCTTGTCCTTTGAGGTCAGGCTGTCGTAGAGCTTCTGTCTTACTCCCTTTATTCTCCCAGCCATCATCTCCATCTCAGCTTTCCACTCATCAAAGAGAGCAGGATCCCCGACGACATTGGCAACAATTCTGGCCCCATGAATAGGAGGGTTCGAGTACATTGGCCTGGCGATTCTCTTGAGCTGGCTCTTAACCCTGTGAGTGAAATTGAAATGATGAAAAGAAAAAGGGAATATAGCAAGTGCATCAGCAGCTTGCAAATAGCAACTTGACGATGATTTTCGATATAACTAAAAGAGGATCCTAACCTTGCTGCAGTATCTGTAGATGAGCAAACGACATTGATAGCACCAATTCTCTCGGAATAGAGGCCCAGATTTTTGCTGTATGACTGAGCAACGAAAATCTCCATGCCACGTGCAGCAAATAGTCTTACTGATGCTGCATCTTGATCAAGGCTCCCACTAGCAAATCCCTGAGTTAGACATATTCAAGTGTTATCAAGTCCAATAGGTTGCAATCCTCAACAAAAAACAAAGAAGTACAATAGGTTGCAATTATTGGATAAAAGAGGTTGAAAGGACAACAAAAGTGAAACAATATATGACATCATACCTGGTATGCGACATCAAAGAAGGGGATATGGTTCTTCTCCTGAATAACATCTGCAATTTTCTCCCACTGTTCAGGGGTTGGATCAATGCCGGTTGGGTTGTGAGCACAACCATGAAGCAAGATGAATGATCCTTCAGGAGCAGCCTGAAAGGAGAAATTCAATATAGCTGAATATCTTGTAGACTAGTTGAAGTTTAATGTATTCTGTAACTCAGCAAAAGTGGATAAGGCAACTGGTGAAAAGTGAATTAAAAGCAGTGTAATGTTCTAAAAACCTTACCTTTATGTCCTCTATCATCCCCTCAAAATCCAGACCAACTGTCTTCGGGTCATAATATCTGTACTCGGACCATGGAACTCTAGCATCATTGAAAATATTCTTGTGATTGCCTGGAAATTTGGGGTGTTTGTTAGTTAGGCATCTTGAAAAATGATAAGCAAAGATCTCAAGCTAGTAAATGTTACTGACCCCACGTTGGAGAGGAAATCAAAACTTTTGCACCGGGGAAGTATCGCTCAATTAAAACTGCAGCTAGTCTTAAGGATCCAGTACCAGATAGACCTTGAACGGTGGCAACCTGATTTTGATTTAGGCCATAGATCATTAATGCGTGAATTATCGAAGGCTCATAGCTGGTGAAGAGCAAAATTCGAAGGCTGCAAAATTATACGGCCTGACATACTCTTTGTTCACTGATCACGGGGCTGTCAGCTCCAAACAACAGCTCTGCAGTCACCTTATTGAATGCTGCTAAACCCTCAATGGGCAGATACTGCAATCAAATAACCAACATCATCAGAATTTAAGTCAACTAAGAATATCAACTTAGATCATAAAGAAAAGAACAGAATAATCAGTTGAGATCATTGACGCAAGGTTTGGTACCTCTTTATTTTCACCCCTCTCAAGCATAAGATTCTCCGCCTGGGGGAGAAAGAAATCAACAAACAAATCTTTATAGCCGTTTGAAAGAAAGAGACAAGCCAGTTTGTCATTTGGGAAAACATTCACCAAACTGAAAAGAAATAAAAATAAGCAGACCTTCTTAACAACATCAAGCACATATGGCTGTAGCTCTTCAGTTCTATAAGCACCAACTCCAAGGTTGAGCTTCTTTTCATCATTGTCAGCCTTGAATGCTTCCGAAACTCCCAGAATCGGGTCGGGTGGAGCCATAGTAATGGCTTCAAAACGGGAGACATTAACAGCAACGGCCATACTGATCCTCCCGCAAGACTGCAATTGCGAAAATCCGAAACATAACTCACACAAAGTTCCAAACCCAAAAGGACAAGCTATACTCCTCGGATTATTGCAGTTAAGTTGGCACCGCCATCTCAGTGTAACACAGAACAGATAACTCCATTGGGGAAAGAAAATCACAAATCCACAAACAGAAGAATGATAAAGTAAGTACCTTTGAGTTCAGAAAGGGATTGCCTTTGTCCTTGATAAACAAAGAACCGACATTGCCACTCCCAAGTCTTCCCTTTCCCTGATAAAAAAGAAGAGTCGTTAATCACACAAACGCACATAGCTCACTGACCCAATTCACAAGATGATCACTTTAACATCAATCGACCTATTGTCAGCTAAGAAATACTAAGTCATAATCAATGATCAGAGCTAAATTAGGGATCACCATTTACCTTGAGAAGGTCAGTGACAGGGGAAGTGGAAGGAGATGCAGAAGCTGCGGCAGAGAGGACGTTGGACGCCATCTGAATACACCCCAAGGAGGACAAATTCAGATTTCACGATCTGGGGATGCAGCTCGGCTGCAACTGATACTGGGAAAACCCTTTGCTTGATGCCTACCGAAAGAAATGAGGATGACGAGATCACGAATTAAGTGTAGGAAATGGAGAGATTCCAAAGGGAGAGAGACGAAGAGAACAAAGTGATTACCTGAGAGAGACACAGAGTTGGCTGCTCGACTATGTCGGGAGAAACGGCGATGACTGTGAAGATGAGCTGCTGCTGTTAACTTCCAGCTGCTTGGATTGGGAAAGGGGATCAATGAAGGAGACGGGAACTATGAAATGGGGTGGAGAGGCGATTTGTACGAAGAAGATGCGTGGGCTTTTTGGGCGAGCAATCGGAAACAGAAGGCTATTTTTCCTGAAATTTCAAACCGATCAAGAAGTTCAATTTGGCCATTAGACTTTCATAGTTTGGGCCATTAGACTTTCTAAGTAGTACGCATATTTTATTTTTAGTCATGGGAGTGCATGAACATTTTATGTTTGACGCTCAATTAATTGCAACAAGTCAACAATTAGATGTACTTTTCACAATCTCATATATCATGTACATCCTTAAATAATAACAATAATTCCTAGGGTCGTTTTCTTGTGGGTCTCACGAACTTGCAAATTTCATAATTGGAGTTTGTATTTAGGTGAGGACCAAAAACCGATCATAACTACAAAGCAACATTCATAATAAAATTCAATAATTAAACAATAAATTCTTCCGAATTCATATCAACAAACCCGTCATACATTTGGTATTTCCCAAACACATACATTTTTCCATCTTAAAGCAAACAACTCCTAAATTTCTTCCCACAACTATAGTTACAAACAAATTTTCTGAGCTTCGGGGGTCATTTGGTTGTGGAAATTTGAAATGGAAATTGGCCCTAATTCGCACATTATGTAGTAAAAACATGGTCATTTTGGCACCCCGGCATTTTCAATTCTTGCGTTAATTTTCTTTTCCCAATTTGACCCTAGGTTTTGATTGTAAAACCATGATCTCGCCCTGACTTTTTTTTCCCCCTTCTAATTGACAGGTTGTTATGTTGCGTTGCTTGAAGAAGGAGAAGCACTTGTTCATCTGTACTTTTCTCCCCTTTCTTCTTCCTTATGTTTTGTGTCCCTCAAGTGGCTACATGGGATGATCTCTACAAGGAAGAACAATACAGAGCTCGAAGAGAGAAGAATCGGAACCCGGCATCGGTGGCTTTCGACGAGAGAATAAGAATCTTTTCCTTTGCTGTAAGTTTCTGATTTCGTCTTTCTCCTCACTCCCTTGCTTGTGCGTAATGAAGAAATCGATCAACCCTGAGATAAGATTAGCAGCAGCTTGGAACTGAAGGAGCTTCTGCAGATACAGAGAAGCTGCTGCTCACTTGAAGAACAGAGCACAAGGAAGGAACGTCGTCGTTCTCTACTCACACGAAGGCAACAAGAAGATTTGTGTAGATAGTCAAGAACGGCAGCGTTCCACTTGAGCGTTGTATATAGTCCACAGTTGACACTTGTACAGATTCTATAGGTTACAATTAGAAAGTTAGTTTTCCATTTTTACTGTTTTGTAGCCGTTAGTTACCTTTCCCTTTTACTGTAAATCTTTGGACTATATATGAAATGAGAAAACGAAGGCTCTCATCATTGAGAACCCTTCACCAAAAACCCTAAATCTAAGTTTCTTCTCATGGTATCAGAGCCTGGTTACAAGCGGTACCATATCTAGTTTTCTCCTTTCAAACCCTAGTCATTTCTTGTGGTGATTTCGCCTCACCATGTCAGGGCAGGCAGCTAGAGTTGATGGCCAGCTGACTGATGATGCTGATACCCAGGCATCTGAGGAAGAGATTCAGAATCAAGCAACTTCTCAAACTTCTCCAAACGGGCGTCGAATGCAAGCATTTGCAGCCCAGCCCTTTGAAGGACAACCTTTTGCAGCACAACCATTTGCCACTCAACCCAACACTCCTCGCTTTCCCCAGTATGAAGATCCATATCTGAATCCGTTTTATCTGCCTTCTCATGATGGAGGTTTGACCACCATCATCTCCATGAAGCTGACAGACCAAAATTACAACCTATGGAGCCAAGTTATGGAGGTAGCTCTTAGTACTCGAAACAAATTTCAATTTGTGAATGGAATGATTCCTGTTCCTGCTGTTGGAGATCCATTATATCAGTCTTGGCTTAGATGTGATGGAACTGTTCCTAGCTGGATCTATAATTCACTATCAGAAGATATTGCAAACAGTGTTGTAGCTTTCAAGGTTGCTAAAGATGTATGGGACAGTTTGAAGGACAGATTTAGTCAAGAGGACAACATGAGGGTCTATGAATTGAAAGAACAAATTGCTAAGTGTGTCAAGGGGGATCTCACTGTCACTCAATATTATACTGCATTGACCACCAAATGGCAGGAATACAAGATGTATAGACCTGTCTCATGTTGTCCATGTCCTAACAGTCCATTCTTTACCATTCAGAAGTATGAAGATCAGGATTTTATCATTAAGTTTATGCAAGGTTTGAATGACAGTTATCAGTCAGCTAGAACTCAAGTGTTGATGAATGCAAATCTACCAAGTATTGAATCAGTTTTTAAGCAGATGGTTCAGCTAGAGAGGCAAATGAAAGGCATGAACTCCTCAAAAGGAAGGGTTGACTCTCTGGCCTTAATGACTAGTGGTCATCAGCAAGGTAAAACTGGACAATCTGGTAAGAATCCAAGGGATTACACCACTGAAGGAAAGAAATGGTGTAGATACTGTAAGAAAGAGGGCCACATCATTGTGGATTGTTATAGACTGAAGAACAAAAGGAGGCAAGAAGGGGAACAGCCTTTTGTTGGTTCAGTTGAGAGCAGTCTATCTGAGTCTGGAGGCTCTTCTTTTGCACATAACTCTGCTGCAAAGAATGATATGAACATTCAAAACCTCCTAACTCTAGACCAGTTTGAGAAATTGAAGCTTACGCTGAGTAGCTCTCCTTCTCCATCTCCTTCACCTCCAACCTCACCTTACTTACCACCTGTTACTTCAGGATGTGTATCTACATCATCACCACATACTCATCAAGCTTCTGCCAATGCAGTAATGAGGATTCCTCCTCATTTTACTGCCAGCTCCAGTTCAGCAGGTAAACAATCTCTACCTGGATTAATTGATTCCTTGCACAAGTCTGAATGGGTGCTTGATACAGGAGCCACAGACCACATCATTTGTAGTCTTGGCTTCTTCATTAAAAGCAAACCAATTGATAATGTGTATGTGAATCTTCCAAATAGACAACAGGTTAAAGCCACTCACATAGGGATTGTTTCTCTGCCTTGTGGATTATTCCTCACTCAAGTTCTTTTTGTTCCAGCCTTTACTTACAATTTGGTTTCTGTAAGTAAATTAACTCAAAATCATCCATTCTCATTGGTTTTCAAATCAAATTTTTGTGTCATTCAGGACCTTATTACTCGGAGGAGGATTGGTTTAGCCCAAGTGGATAAAGGGTTATACCTGTTTTGCCAGTCAAAGTGTCAGCAGTTTAAGTCCAGTAGCATTCACCACTCATTTGCAGCAGGAGTTTCTCATGTTCAGCCTTCTGATTCCACCATTTGGCATGCTAGATTAGGTCATCCTTCCTTGTCTAGACTGAGAGATATTAAAAATCAATGTAATGAGGTCGTTTTGCCATTGACAAAACACTGTGATGTTTGTCATTTATCTAAGCAAAAACGATTACCATTTCCTTTAAGTTCTTCTATCAGTTCAGAGTGTTTTGACCTTTTGCATGTGGACATCTGGGGTCCTTTGAACAAAACTTCTAGAAGTGGATTTCTTTACTTCTTAACAATTGTTGATGATCATAGTCGAGCAGTTTGGACTTTCCTCATGAAATCCAAATCAGAAACCAGAACCATTCTGCAATCCTTTTGCACAATGGTTAAAACACAATTTTCCAAATCAGTTAAAACCATAAGATCTGACCAAGGCCAAGAATTTCACATGGCTGATTTTTACAGTTTAAATGGCATTTCCCATGAAATGAGCTGTGTTTATACTGCTCAGCAAAATGGCAGAGTTGAAAGAAAGCATCAACATCTTCTAAATGTAGCCAGATCTTTGAAATTCCAATCTGGACTTCCACTTCTTTACTGGGAGGATTTCATTATTCATGCTGATTACTTGATCAACAGAACTCTCACTCCAGTTCTTAATCACAAAACTCCCTTTGAAATTCTTCACAAAGTACCACCAGACTACATGAGCCTAAGAGTCTTTGGCTGTTTGTCCTATGCCACCATAGTAGAGGGTCATAAACACAAGTTTGATCCCAGGTCAAGGAAATGTGTTTTTCTTGGATATCCAACAGGGATTAAAGGTTTTAAACTGTTGGATGTTGACACCAGGAAAGTCTTTATCAGTAGAGATGTTGTGTTTTATGAAACCCTCTTTCCTTTTAAATCCAATGAGCATTTAAATCATAGTTCATCTGAAGGTGAGTCATTCATTCTCCCTTCTTATCCAGGGTCTTCTTCTTCCCAGGCTGATCCTTGTCCTGGTCAGCCACTTTCCATTGTTAACCCTGCAGTAGAGTATTCTTCTCCTTCTACTGCTATACACATTCCTTCCACTCCTGCTGCACCACTGTCAGAATGTGATGATGATGATCATACTGATCATGTTTCATTCCCAGATCATTTTTCTCCAATTTCTCCTCCTCTTGACCCCTCACCATCAGTTCCTTCTTCCTCCAAACCTTTAGAGCCCACTAGAAAGTCTACAAGGCAGGTTAAATTCCCTAGTAAGTTTAATGATTTCTATGTGGGTATGGCTCAAGTCTGTTGTTCTCCCCTCCTCTCACCAGAACAACAACACTTTGCTTTTTCAATCATGGCTACAATTGAGCCTACTTCTTATGCTGAGGCAATGCTTGACCCTCGTTGGCAAGCTGCCATGAGAGAGGAGATTCAAGCTTTATATGCTAACCAAACTTGGGAGATCACAGACTTGCCAGGGGGAATGAAGGCTATTGGTTGCAAGTGGGTATTTCGAATAAAATACCACCCTGATGGCAGTGTTGAAAGATTTAAAGCCAGATTAGTGGCAAAAGGGTATAATCAAGTTTATGGTATTGATTATTGTGACACATTCTCACCAGTTGCAAAATTGACATCTGTTAAAATGCTGTTAGCAGTTGCATCAATTCAGCAATGGCATTTGCATCAAATGGATGTTAATAATGCTTTTTTAAATGGTGATCTGGATGAAGTGGTGTATATGGAATTGCCACCTGGTTTAAAGGAAAGAACAGAATACAAAGGGAAGGTTTGTAGGTTGAAGAAGTCCCTCTATGGGTTAAAAAAAGCTAGCAGAATGTGGTATGCTAAGCTTACTGAAACCCTGTTGTCTCATGGGTTTAAGCAATCCAGTGCTGATTGCTCTATATTTCTGTCTAATGTGGAAGGTTCACTTGTAGTTCTTATTGTTTATGTCGATGATATAGTCATTGGCAGCATCAGTTTACAAGCAGTTGAGACAGTGAAGAACATGTTGAAATCAGTATTTAAAATGAAGGACTTAGGTGATTTGAAGTATTTTCTTGGCTTAGAGATTAATAAGGTTGATGGTGGAATACATGTAAGCCAAAGGATGTACTGCATTGAGTTATTAAGGGAAGCATGATTTGATGACTGTAAACCTGCAAAGACCCCTTCAAGTGTGAAACAGGTTCTTTCTGCTCAAGATGGTGAACCATTCCATGACATAAGCAAATTCAAGCATCTACTTGGTCAATTACAGTATCTTAATACAACCAGACCTGACATTACCTATGCAGTTCAGCAGCTTTGTCAGTATCAGGATTCTCCAACCACAGTCCATTTCAAGGCTTTACAAAGAGTATTCAGATACCTCAAGAATGCACCTGGCCAAGGTTTATTTTATTCCAGCAACTCCAATATACAGATCACAAGTTATAGTGACTCAGATTGGGCTACATGCCCTGATTCTAGAAGGTCTATTACAGGTTTTTGCACTTTCTTAGGAGATGGTTTGATAAGCTGGAGAAGCAAGAAACAAAGCAATGTGTCCAGGTCTTCCTCTGAAGCCGAGTACAGGGCAATGTCTCACCTTAGTTGTGAAATGCAATGGTTGATAAGGTTACTTAACGATTTTGGCATTGATCACTCTCAACCTGCAGTGTTGTTTTGTGACAATCAGTCTGCAATTCATATTGCTAGAAATCCTGTGTTTCACGAAAGGACAAAACACATTGAGGTTGATTGTCATGTTATACAAGAGAGAGTCATGAATGGTTTGATTAGCCTGCATCATCTGTCCACAACTTTTCAGATTGCAGATGTGTTTACTAAAAGTCTAGGGGTTGATCGGTTCAAGATGTTGTTGAGCAAGCTGGGAGTATCAGAAGACACTCGCCAGCTTGAGGGGGCGTAATGAAGAAATCGATCAACCCTGAGATAAGATTAGCAGCAGCTTGGAACTGAAGGAGCTTCTGCAGATACAGAGAAGCTGCTGCTCACTTGAAGAACAGAGCACAAGGAAGGAACGTCGTCGTTCTCTACTCACACGAAGGCAACAAGAAGATTTGTGTAGATAGTCCAGAACGGCAACGTTCCACTTGAGCGTTGTATATAGTCCACAGTTGACACTTGTACAGATTCTATAGGTTACAATTAGAAAGTTAGTTTTCCATTTTTACTGTTTTGTAGCCGTTAGTTACCTTTCCCTTTTACTGTAAATCTTTGGACTATATATGAAATGAGAAAACGAAGGCTCTCATCATTGAGAACCCTTCACCAAAAACCCTAAATCTAAGTTTCTTCTCAGTGCGCTCCTGTATTCCTTACAATGATTTGGTCATTAGGAGCATGGGCTGGGCGGGAACAACGAGCGATTGGATTAAGGGTGGTTACCTATCTCTTCTGTTCTGTTCTAGTTTAGTTTAGTTTAGTTTAGTGGCGACAAAAACAGAAGCAACAAGAACATTCACTAGTAGCAAAAGCAGCAGTTAACAGCAGTAAAAGTTAGTTAGAAACACCAGTTGTTAGAGCATAAGCAACAACAAATTATTCGATTTCATCATCATAGACTTTTGTTCTTATATTTATACTTCACATACACAATAGAAAGTTTGCATTGATACTGCTGTTGTATATTGAATTAATATTCATATATTAAGCATGAGATTTTGATCAATTCCCAGTTGCCAATTCCGAGATTTATTCTAAGGTGTGAAATTAACGTCATTTCCTTGGTTTTAGGATTTCCACAGCCAACAACCTCTTCCAAAAGTAAATTTGTAGTCATATATCATACGGGCCGGGTTTACAATACAGGCTCTAATGGCTTGGGTTGTTTTAGGTAAAAATAATTTGTTCTACTTTACCGATGTTTGGGCCTGAGCTGCCCATTTATCACAAACTCGAAATGGGCTATCCAGAGTTGACTGTTCCCCCGTCCATGGCCTGGCCTGCCTTACTCTTATCATTATCCGAATGTGAAAGGGAAATGGAAGTCCGACCCGGAAACGGAATCCGGGAAATGGCAACAGAACAGACTATGGAATGGAGCTATAAAAATACCTCCAAACGCAACTCTCATTTTCTCACACACACTGCCCACTCTCTCTGTTTCCGATAGTTCATAGTTCCTTCTTTCTCTGCCTACTTCTTACTTCCGTAATTCCCCAATTTTCTTTCCGACTTCCAAGAATGGCGGTAATAGTGCTCGACCCTTCCTCCTCCGCCGGACTGCTCCCCACTCCACCACTTTCAAGAATGAAGGCAGTAGTTCTCAACCCTACCTCCTCCGCCGGACTGCTCCCCACTCCACCGCCGTCGAAGCGCCTGCTACCACTACCTTGTAGTCTCTCCGCTTCCTCGGGGTTTGGCGGCGGCTACAACCGGAAATCATGCTCATCAACTTCACCGTCCCCTCCCCGCCAGAATCACGAGAAGAAACAGAAGACAACTGCCAATAAGAAGCTGCAGTTCCAACGATGTCATGATAGCAAGTGCGCAGAGAAGAAGAAGAAACCGTACTATAGCGGGGCATCCTTCTCCGTGCCTTCGCCTCCTCCGGACTCCTTGCCTCTGCCCTCTTTCCTGTCCGGCGGCCCTCTCGCGACCCGAATACAGAGCAAGCTGCCTCCACCGTTGCAGAAGCAGCCCTACTCCCGCGATTTCTTGCTCTCCTTGTCCCAATCTGCTCCGGCCACTTGTCCTCCGATTCATCATCAACTGGACCTCTCTAGATTGCCCTCCGGAATTTGCTGAATTGAATAGTAATTGTCTAGTCTGACCGGTTTGGTTAGGTCTCTTGAAGAATAACATTTTCTTCTCCCCGGGCCACTCTTGTAGATCTATGATCTGTATGTTAATGATAGTATTTAGCTAATTCTTCAGTAATTAGCTAGGATTTATTGGCAATGAGTTCTGATCTTCATTACAGTAACGTTTGCCATACAAATTGCAACTCTTACCTTTGGTATTTTAATATACACTACGCACTCAAAGTTGCTATCCAAGTTTACATGGTCTGTCGCCGCCTACCAACGATGGGACAATTAGTAAAATCAATACTCTTCGAATTAATTGAAAACCGGATCAAGAGACACAAGGCCAAGATTCACTTTCTCGACTTCTTTACAAGTACAGCGAACCAAGAGTTCATGATCACCAGAACAAAGAAAACGAGGACAAGTGAGCTCGTCTGACCTGGGTAGATAACATGTTTAAGACCTGTACTATATGCCCAAGAGCCGCGGTCAAATGAATTACACTTAACGAGTTAAAGGAACTTCTAAAGGTACGACTCTGTTCTAGTAGTAGTAAAAGTATGGAACTTGACAAATGGCTCCATGCAAGGTAGGGCTGTAGACCAGAAGGGCCATCTAAAATATCAACCAAACCATTCAGACAGTTCACCATCAAAGTGGCATTGGCATGAAAAAATCAAACTCCAATGACACATGACAGATGACAGAAGGGAATCGTTGAATGAAACGAAGCAATACTCGACACTTGATCATCCAACCATTCTATTAGCACACATCACTCAAGTCACCAGTAGACATCAACCTTCAAACCAGAGACAGGGAACCAAAATGTCTACTTGGAGTTTGAATTGCGATGATGGCAAGCGCTGGCTGCTGACTCGAACTCCAATGAGATAAACAGAAGGCTTAAGCTCAGAGAAATGGAAGGGAGGCAGTCAAAAACATTAATCTTAATAATGCAACACAAACTAATCTCCTAGCAAGGGTAATGGAAAAGATGGCACTCTTGAAACAGCCACAGACTAAACATGGTTGCCTCAACTCTCTTCTTCTTTCCCTAACAAGATAGTCACAGCATCACAAGCTGGTTAAGCTCGCACAAAGGATTCCAAATTGATAGCTACAGAAGCCAAAGAACAGAAACCATAGATTCAATCAGCCTATCTGAATGAAATACCCATTGACAGAAATGAATCCTAGATAACTTTCCATGAAGATTTTTCTGGCATACAAGCAGCAACAAACTATTCTCAGAACCAACATCAGTAAGAGAACCATAAGATCAAACAAGACCTCTCATACTTTGCCAACCACGATTCAATTGCAGAAAACGCAAACTAAATGACAACCAATTAAGTGACTAAGAGGGAATCATGAAAATGAAACCCTTACAGAAACTACATAGAAACTTTGCTCCAGAATCAAAATCATTATCCCAGTACAGATTGTTTGAAACTGTCTTCAACCACTAATTCATTCGGAAAACAGAAAAAGAGTTCCAACAGATCGGGAAAATGAAGTAAAACTCGAGCAAACACCTTAGAACCCAAGCTTGGTCCTGCGCCAGTGCCTACGCTTCGCATTGTACCTGCAAAATCCCACAGCCAAAAACACATCCAATAAACATCCCAATCGATTCAAACCCTAATTTCATAAATAAATAAAAAAACAGAACACCACAAAAACTTCGAATTTGCAGAAAGAAAACAAAGGCAAGTAAACGAGCGAGCGCACCTGATGGTGTTGTCGGTCCTCATGCGGATCCAGTAAGGGATTGGCCTGTTCTGGCGCATCTTCTTCGCCAGCTTCTTCTTGATCATGAACGACTTGTGCGACGGCTGCGCAAATTTATCAACAGAAATCCATCAGCGGTCAGTTAGATTCGTAAACGTTCGATCCCAGATCGAGTGAAGGAGGAGCTCGCTTTAGATACTGCGAGAACAAGATATTGAAGAAGAACTCACCATTTTCGCCTCCTTGGTGATGAACTAGCTAGCAGCTGCGGTGAGGGTTTTGCTGAAGCGGCCGCTCTGAATACACGAAGGAGAAAAAACCCTAGCAGGCAGAGTATTGATTTTATAGTTCCATCAAATTTGGTAGTTCGCCGACTAAGCCTTTCCTTCATGGGCTTAGTGGTTTCGGTAGAACACTGGGCTGAAGATGTTTCTAGGACGGGCCAGATGGGCTGGCAGTTGAACATAAAAAATTATGCTGGCCCGAACTTATCACTTGGACGGGCCAGTGGCTTTCTTAATGTGTTGACTGGGCTCCGATGGGTATCCACTATCCAGCAAGGCAGCAACCGGTTACTGACGGTACATGGCCCTCGGCCGGCACGGCACGGGCACGCTTCGGGCCCATTTTATTTCGTGCCGTGTTTGGCACGGTCCTTCAGTTTTTGTGTCGTGCAATGCAAGTTCATTTGTTAACTTTGCTACGCCTGGCCCAGGCCCGGACACGGTTCGAATCGTGTCGTGCCTATTCGTGCTTGTGTCATGCTCATATTTGTGTTTAATGAAAAGGAAGAAAAAAAAAAGAGAGAATGAAAAATAAGGTAAAAATTGGACGGGGGAGATAGTATTAACCGATAATGTTTGAGAAAAGTAACAAATAAGGGGGAAAAGAAAATTGGAAGTATAGCGAGTGTGATTTGGTTTTGTTTAATTCTTTGTCCATTTTACTTATGTTAGTAATTACGTATATATATTTATGACACTTCTAACAACAACAAATAATTATTTTTCTACTTGTGTTTTGTAATATTTGAACCTGTAATTCTTTTTATATTTATTTTCTATCAAATCAATATTATTTTCGTGTCATGTCCGTTCTTATACTCAATAAAGTCTCGAAAATATTAGGCCCGACACGGTCCACTTATATACCATATCGTGCCCGTTCCATGAAGTTTAGGCCCGGCACGACCCATAAATTATTCGAGCTCGTGCCGGGCTGGCCCATTTATTTAGTGCTCGTGCCGTGCTCTAACCGTGCCGTGCTAGCCCGTGGGCGGCACGGCCCGGTACCCACATACATCACTGATTCTCAATGTTCGATGAGCCTCTCCACTACTCATACAAGAAGGTTAATGAATCAAGTCGCTTATAAACGATTTGGCGAGCTAGTTTGTAGTGGGTTGGAGGAAATTCAAGGCGAACTAAGAAGGAAAAGCCTGTCGTGGATTAATAAATGAGCCCAAAAAATTTACATATGCAATTCGAGAAGGAACATATTGCAGTTGCGCGTGTATGGTGGGCATCGGTCGATTCGGTTCACAAACGGATCAAATTGACTCATCACAAGACAAAAATAAAGGAAAAACGAGGACCAGAACTGGATCAAAAACATATTTGATTCATTTGGTTCGATTTAGTACGGTTCAAATTCAATTTCAAGGCATTTCTTCTTCATACTCAGGGGCGGAGGTACATTGTAGCTAGGGTGGGCCCCGGCCCACCCGGGATTGGTCCCGGCCCCTAGGTCCATGAGGATATTTTGTACAAATTTTATAAGTAGAACTTGTTCTGTAAATTTTATAATATAATAGTTATGTGGTCTAATGGTAGCCAAGCTTAATTTATTTCATAAAGCACATGGGTTCGATCCACATTGGTTATATAATTTTTTTAATTATTTTCGGCCCCCGGTCTCGAAGTTCCGACTCCGCCCCTGTTCGTACTTTAAATAATTAATTATCCGATCCGATTCGGCAATCGTTGCCCACTCCCAGTAGCAGGCATGTGCTTTGATTATGCAAGCAGCAGAGGAAGATGAGATGATGACGGCAAAAGCAATTGGGCTCAAATATGGGGGCCATTTATGATAATTAACTAATTAAGATTAAGGGGGAAATTGAAGAAGAAATGTCGTTATCGATGTATCACTATAGCCTATATGAGGAGTGTTCAATGAATCTTAAAATATATTAAAGGACTTTCAGAATGAAGCCACTACCACGTACCCCTTCCTGTAATTAGAAGTGGTCCACGTCAGCCTCTTATAAACCCGTTCCAGTTTCCACCCCTTCCCTAGATTACTCCGCCGCTTTTCCTCTACATTCGCCAAATTCCCCTCCCTGTAACTGTAATTGCCTTTCCTGTAAGGCTGTAAGTCTGTAACTGTCCCGCCATTCCTTATAACACCTGTCTTTCATTTTGTCCTTTCCATTTACATTTGTTACAACATGTTTGCTTTCATATGATCTTAGTTGTATTTCATGTTTGCTTTCATGGGTTTGCCTTTTTCTTTCTTTACTTTGAGGCCCTTTCGATGGCTTAACCACTAATCCTTTTTGATAACTTCAATTGGACTTTTGTCAATCTACACTACTTATAATCTACACATAATATAATACGCCGAAAGAAAAAACGGGAGCTCCATTTCAAATTTCCTGCAACGAGAGTGAAAGTAGGAATGACATTTTGGTCTTCACAATTGCTTTTTTTTATTCATTAAAAAGACACGTACTGGGATTCGAACCATGACCATTTTAAAGAAAAGCAAGGATAATAACCAATCACACTAAGCACATTTGTTGTATCTTTTTAAATTAAAAACATATAATAGCAGGGAGGAAAAAACTCATCCCCCATTTCAAATTCCCTGCTCCATGAGTGTTTGTAGGAAGGGTAGAATAGGAAGTGTCAATTTTTTTCTCTTTCCTCTTTGGAACGGGCCAACTTACCGTACACATGCGAATTTAAACGGGTCCAGGAGTGTCAATTTTTTTTCTTTAAACCCTTTTATTTCTCCGTGGTGATAAAATATATATGAAAAGGAAAAACTAATACTCCTTTTTATTGTTAAAAATAAAAAATTTAACAATAAACTAATACATGGTATCTAATGGGCTAACCGCTAACCATAAAATAAAAGAGTTGAATGGGCCTGACCTACATGGGATTTGACCATCAAGTAAAACAAATGAACATCATTGGTTTGTCATTCTAAAACAAGCTATTTTCTATTATGCTATTATTTTATATCTTAGTGGCTAAAATATAATGTATTTTAAAGTTATTCAATGGTTCAACCTCGACCAACACAATTAGTCCAATTTTTATCATTTCAAATATATATTTTATAATTATTTGATATCACAATGATCAAATTATAGTGTATTTTATAGGGAATCGTTTGGTATTTGTTAGTAAAAAACTAAACATAACGATCTATTTGGTTATTTTAAACATTATAACGATCCTAAACATTTTCAGTTCCTTTTGAATTTCCATGG